ATGAGCCCTGCTCAAAAACAGACTTGTTTTGTCAAACTGGGTGGGAAGCAAAGCGGATGGAGGTGGCAGATTCATGGCCTCCCCGAAGAAAGCATACCTGTACCACTGTTACATAACATCTATGTGATTGACCAACCAATCAATTTGGAAACAAAACATTTTATCTATGCAAATCACCTGTGTATAACTACCCAAAGCACTGGCTTTGACCATGTCAAAGAATGCCTAAGTGAGGCACTAATTGGTCTAACCTCATACTACACTGATAACCAATTACACGCCAACCGAGCTAAAACACAAATATGTGCCTTCCATCTGAAAAAACACGAGGTCAACCACCAACTCAACATTACATGGTCTGGGACTACACTCCCCTAGTGTACAAATCCAGTTTACCTTGGAGTCAGCCTCAATCAAACTCTCTCATACAAAGAACACATCATGAAGACAAAAGCAAAGGTGAGCACTTGAAACAACACTTTGTATAAGCTCACCAACTCAAAATGGGGACCTAGCCTCCACAAATCCAAACCACTGCTCTAGCTCTCAGCTTCTCCTCTTCTGAGTATGCATGTCTTGTATGGGAGAGATCCATGCATGCTAAGCGCCTTGACCCCCTTCTGAAAGATAGCTACTGATGTATCACAGGATGTCTGAAGCCTACCAGCCTAAGCAGTGTGAACCTTCTGGCTGGCCTCGCTCTGCCTGACATCAGGGTAGCAGTGTCCAGTGGGACAGAACAATATAGACAAACTGAAGATGTGAGACATATGCTGTATAACCATCCTTCAGTGCACAAACGTCTGAAGTTATGCAGGAGTTTCCTCACCAGCACCCAACCTCTCAATGCCATGTGGCAGAATACCATCTCTGTCTCTCCCCAAACTCTGCTACCTGACAATTTGGTTACCATTGTCACTGCAGAGGGCAGACTCCTCCGCCCCATCTCTTCATGTGACCCTGAGTTGTAACCTGAGCTGGATACATTCCTGAGGGAGCAGGGAAACCTGCTCCCTCTGCCTACGTGACTGGCCTCACACAGCTGAGTGCGGGGCGTAAGCTCCCTATTGGTCTAAGCAATGACAACCTGATTGGGAGGAGGTTAAGGACCCTGCCAGTCTACCCAGCAACCAGTGATGTATTTCAAATTGGTTGGCTGGCAGCCAACAGGTACTGGTCCTCATTGGATCAGGTAAATGAGGTCATAAGGTCTATATAAGTGAATAACTGCCCAGGTGGAGGGGCAATAGCCATGAAGAAAACTCAGAGACAAGCTGAACCATCTGAAACTTATTCTTTCTCTTGAAACTCATGATCAAGGAACTGCCTGCCTCCAGAGAGAATCTACACCTGCCTCTGGGTGATACTTGTGAGTAAGCTACCTGAGATCTAACTAGATCTATAGCTTGCAGTAACTCAGATGAGTAATCAAAGGCTACCCAGCCACCCTGCTTGCTCTGTGGGATTTCCCTGAAATTGCTGTACCCTGTACCCTATTCCAAACCTACTCATTGTAACCAGTAAAGTTCTCCTTTGTACCTAGCATGGGAAACTTATTGGGAGTGGGTCTATATTATGCCTTGTGTTCCCCTTGGTTTGGCTGACTAAGGAAGACTACAACTTGTGCTTTAGACTGAGGGAAGCACCCCAAGTTCTTGCAGTGGGTCACATCCCCTCAAGGACTACTAGGCCTGTGTCTCCCAGGGGGGCACAAGGCCAGAATTGGTTCAGGCCCTGGGTGGTGACAGCATTACCCCCAGGTTATCAGGTGTGCTCCAGGAAGGGGGTTGGACGGACATGATGTGCCCCCAGGGAGGCTCCAGGAGCCTGGAAGGTGGTCAGAAGGTGGTTGGGCACAGGGCGGTGGGTGGCTCAACAGAGAAGCACCCCCTACTGGCTTGCCACATGCCACATCCAAGAAGACACAACTACAGATGTGGAATGAGAGGCTCAATAGCTGCAAGCAAAGGGTACTTGTTAACAGGTGTGACTGGGCACCAAGTCTGCCCCAAACGGAACTTCAGGGGAGTGAAGGAAAGCCAAAAACTTACCTTAGCAACCAGTCCTAGGAGAAAAGGGGCGGGGCTACCCAGATGGGGGAGAGACCTGGATGAAAACATAAACAAAGAGAGCAGCAGGTGGGAAGGGAGAGGGGATGAGTGCTAGCTGTGAGAGAGGCAGCAGATGGCTGGAAGGATTTAAAGGGGAAGTAACCCAGATTTAGCTGGAAAAAGGGAAGAAAGCAACCCAGGAGAAACAGGGAGAAACTACAAGAAAGAGAAAAGGGAATATAAGAAGGGTCCTGGAGAAAGACTTACCTGGGAAGATGAAGTGAGTTAACAAAGGAGGACTTTGAGTCGGTGAGTCTGATACCTGAAGACATCGAGTAACATCCCAGAGACTTAAAATTAAGAGAAAGGAATGAGACTGGATGAAAACTAACAAAGAGAAGAGAACCCCACAATTTTGATATCAGTAGTAAAAACAAGGTGACCTAGGATTGCTATTTGCTTGGGACCTGTGCAGAGGAGAACAGGGCAAGCAACCAAGAAATTGAGAGTTCTCAAAGAGAGAGGGAACTAAATATTTATATAAGATGTAATTTATCTAAGAGAGACATAATAGTTGTGCAGAAGAGTTATTTCTGTTGAACCGCAGACACGATATTTTCCTCATCTCTCAGGACTGTGTTTATTTCTGTATCTTATTCCATCAAAGTCGTGGTGGGCGAGAAATAAAGGAAATTAACCAGTTCAGATTAAAACAAGAGTTGGTGGTTTATTTTGCGGGCATAGCTTAACTTTCACAGTGGGTCTATATCAGAATGGCAGGGGGTTTTGATTGGAGTCCCACAGGGGTCTGTCCTGGGCCTGGTACTGTTCAACATGTTTATTAACCATTGGAGATTGGCATAGAAAGCATCTTGACCACGTTTTCAGACAGTGCAAAACTGTGATGGATTGTGGACACATCAGAGGATGGAAGCACAATTCAGAAGGATCTTGAAAGATTGGAAAGCTGGCATATCACTGGCAGAATGAAGTTCACGGAGGACAAATACAAAGTGCTGCACTTTGGGAAGAATAATCAAAAACACAAGAGCAAAATGGGTGACATCTAGCTGGAGGGCAGCGCTATGGAGAAAGATCTGGGAGTCTTAGTAGATAACAGACTCAATATGAGTCTTCTGTGTGATCCAGCCACTCAAAAGGCCGATGTGGTTTTGGGTTGCTTGTGGGAGGTGAAAGTGTCTTTCTGCTCGGCACTGGTTAGACCTCATCTAGAGTACTGGGTTCAGCTGTGGGATCCACTTTTTAAAAGGACACAGCACTCTGAAGGCAACAAAAATGATACAGCACTTTGAAGGCAAGTCATATGAGGAGAGGCTAAAGGAGCTGGACATGACCAGATTGCAGAAAAGGTGCTTAAGAGGGGACATACGAACAGTCTACAAATACCTGAAGAGTCATAAAGAAGAGAGAGAGCACCTTTTCTATCACTGCAGAGAGGAGGACAAGGAGCAATGGCTTGAAGTTGCAGCGAAGCAGATTTAGGTTGGTTCTCGTGAAAAACTCCTTCCCTGTTAGAACAGGGAGGCAGTGAATAGACACCTCGGAAATGGATGGCGTCTGTAGCACTGGAGATGTTCAAAAAGGAGCTGGACAGTCAGGAATGATCTAGGTGTAGCAATGCTTATGGCTTACTCCGGGTATTTCCCAGGTTTGGGAGCTTTGTTAGTTGCACATGGGGATGGGAAGGAATTTTTCCCCCTTCTGCTGCTACACATGTCTGGGGGGAGGGTTTTACCTCCCTCAGAGGCACTGGGGGTTGTCTACAGACCAGGCCAGGATGGGGACTGGGCTATGCCAATGCTCCTGCTGGGACTGAAACCCAAAGGATCCTGCCTAGAGGCTCTTGTCCCTCCACTCAGGGTCTGACTGATGCCACATTTGGGGTCAAGAAGGAATTTTCCCCCGTGGTCAGATTGGTATAGACCGGGGGGGGCATGACCCTTGCTACAGAAGGGTCACGGGGAGGCCATGACCCTTGCTACAGAGGGGGGGTGCCTTCCTCTGTAGCAAGGGTCATGGCCTCCCCGTGGGATATCATGAGTGTATATTAACAACCTTTACAGCAGCAGGAAGTTGGCCATCGCGGTCTCCTTGCTTTCCCTGTGGCCAGTTCAGGTGTGATGCATGGTGCTGTGTCTGTGTAGTTTTGCTAAGAGATTGGACAGTGGATTTGTCCAGGCTGGTTTGGACAGGGCTGATCCTGCCTCAGGCAGGGGGTTGGACTAGATGTGACCTCTGCAGCCCCCTTCCAACAGTTGGTCAGCAGAGGCCCAAAGGGTTTGCTGTGTGTGGGCACAACCTGGCACGGAGAACCTCACAGGGCCAGGGAAAGCCTGTGACAGCTCTCAGGGCAAGACCAGGACTTCAGCCTGGGACCAATTTGACACCTCATTGAAGGCTCCAGGGGCAGGTCTAAGCTGAAGGCAGAAGGCGCAATGCAGAGGTCCAGCACCAACCCCCCTGCCCCAGCCCCTCCTGCCACCCCTGCATGCACCCATCTGCTATGTCCCACACACAGGACATCCCACTGCCCACCCCAATGACCCCCACCCCTGCTCTGTCCAACATCTGTGGCAATGCCAGGATCATTTCTTCTAATTAAAAGGCATCTTGTTCCCTCTGCTTGGGGCAGGCACAGAGACAGCATGAGTTTGAGTTTACACAAGGTTTATTTTGCAAACGCACAGCCAACACAAAAACTGCCATGGCTTGTGGTGTGCACAGAGGTGGATCTGGAGGTAGGGGGGCAGTGGGGCAGTCACACCTCACTTTGATTCGTGCTCCACCCAAAGTTTAAAACCAAGTGTCTGGCAGTGCTGAGGGAGTCACCCGATTTCCTGGCTCATCATCATAATTAAATGACTTTCAATGAAGCATTGGATGCAGGACTCCAGATCACCCATGTGTGTGCACAGGGCTTCACTGGGTCTATGCCCCTTGCCTGTGGCCTGTAGTGCTGGCACAGCTCTGATCATCGCCCACCCCTGGGAGCTGAACCCCATGCCCATCTCCACACCCAGCTTGGCTTCTGCTCAGCTCTTTGGGCCAAAACAACCACAGCACCCGGTCCCGGATCTGCCTGGTCTTCACCCCATATATGAGGGGGTCCAGAATGGGGGGCAGCAGCACATAGAGCACAGCCAACAGGATGTGGACATAGAGGGGGTCACCATGGCCAAAGCGGTGGGTGATGAAGGAGAAGAACGCAGGTGTGAAGAAGGTCAGGATGACACAGAAGTGGAAGCCGCAGGTGCTAAAGGCCTTGAACCAAGCCTCGTGGGAAGGGAGGCTCAGCACAGCCTGCAGGATGAGGGCATAGGAGAGGCCAATGAGCAGCAGGTCCAAGCCCATGACCAGCAGGGCAATGACAAGCCCGTAGAGCCAGTTGACACGGATATCGGTGCAGGCCAGTTTGGCAATACCCATATGCTCACAGTAGGCGTGGGAGATGATGTTGGGGCCACAGTAGCGCAGCCTCAGGGTGAGGAAGGGCAGAGGGAGGATGATGAGGACTCCCCGGGCCAGGGCAGCCATCCCTATGGCCACAACCCTCTGGCTGGTCAGGACAGCTGTGTAGTGCAGCGGGGCACAGATGGCCACGTAGCGGTCGAAGGCCATGGCCAGCACCACCCCTGACTCTGTGGCAGTGAAGGTGTGGATGAAGAACATCTGGGCCAGGCAGGCATGGAAGCTGATCTCCCGTGCCCCAGCCCAGAAGATGGCCAGCATCTTGGGCACGGTGGAGGTGGCCAGGACCAGGTCCACGGCCGCCAGCATGCACAGGAAGTAGTACATGGGCGTGTGCAGGCTCTGCTCAGCCCTCACCACTGCCAGCACCATGCAGATCCCCAGCAGTGCCACCATGTAAACCAGGCCCACAGGAAAGGCCACCCAGAAGTGGGCCTGCTCCAGCCCGGGGAGGCCGGTCAGTATGAAGCTGGAGGGGTGAGCAGCAGTCATGTTATGGGTGGCTGTTTTGCTGCATGCTTCCAACATCCTTGGGACTTGGCTTCTGCAAGCAAAGACAGGGATGTAATTGCATGTCAGGGTTAATCCAGCTTGCTGTACCACCAGCACTTGATGAGGGCTTGCCCCAGGGCTACACCATCTCCCCCCCATCCCCATGGGCTGTCATGTTGGGGGACCCACCTGTGTGCAATGATGCACTCTCCCAGGCACCAGAAGCCTTGGTCTGGCAAACCCTCACATTCACAGCCATTCATTCCCCTACTTTCCTATCTCAGACAGACTTACAACCAAGCCCTGTATCAAAGGCTCTCAATGAAATTGGGTTGCTGTGGGCTTGGAGGACAGGTCCTCTTGCGGCTCAGAGACTGGCCTACAGGTAGAAAAGAAAGCATGAGGCTAATGAGTCAGTTTTCAGAATGGAAAGGAATAACCAGTGGGTGGCCCAGGGCTGTGTTAGCACTGGTACTGTTTAACATATTCATACATGGATGAATGGAAAGACACAGTCCAGGAGGCTGTTGGCTTGTTTGCCACAAGAGCACATCATTGGCTTATACTCCATTTACAGTCCACTGTCACCCCCAGGTCCTTCTCTGTGCTACCACAGCCCAGCCATGGCAAAGAGCAAATGACACTCAATGTTGAGAAGTGCAAATGGATGCACATGGGAATAAATATCCCAGACAAGCTCACAGCAAAGAGCCACTGGAGTCATTATGGATGCATTGCTGAACTCAATGCAGCTGTCAGAAAGGGAAATAAACTATGAGGAATTATCCAGAAGGGAATGGTAACCCAAACAGGATATCTCTTTCCCCCTTTATAAACCCACGGTGCCTCACACGATGTGCCCCATTTTGGTCCATGCACCTCTAACAAACTATAGAAGAGCTAGAAAGGTCCAGAGAAGGGCAACAAGGATGATCAGATGGTCTGGAGGGGTTTTTATGTGAGGAGAGGCTACATGGGCCAGGACTAAGCTTAGACAAGAGATACTTGAGGGGAGACATGACAGAGGGTCACAAAATTTACAATGGGGCAGAGAAAGTCAATGGGGATTTGTTATTCCCTGCCTCTCTCCATCCTAGAGCTGGGGGGCAGGAACTGAAGCTATTACTGGCAGGTTTAAAATGAACACGAGGAAGTTCTCCAGGTGGTAAGTCATTACCAGATGGGACTCACTGCTGCAAAAACTTGTTGGGGCCGATCGCTTAATCCAGGTCACAAGGGGATTGGACCCATTCCTGGAGGAAAGATCCAGCCATAGGTACTGAGTACAGTAGATGGGGTCAGCCCCTGGACTGCTGGAAACTGCAATGGGAGTGGAAATATCTGGATGTGCCCCATTCACCTCCCATACAGCATGTGCTCCCTGCCGCTGTGTGAGACAGGATATGGGGCAAGATGGACCCGTGGCAGCTCCTGTTCTGATGTCCACACTCCCTATGACATCTGTCCTCCCCAGGACCTGTCCTGCTGGTCTGAGTCCCTGACAGCCTGGAACGGGTTCAGATCATGTCCTACAGGGAACACCCCAGACGGGCACAGCATGGTGTCCGCACTAGGCTGCATCTGCTGCAGCACAAACCCCGCGAGGGAGCAGGGCTGCACTGGCAAAGCAAGAATAGCTTTGCCGTGGGGAGAGGGATGCAATGTGGTCCCCATCTTTAAAAAAGGGAGGAGGGAGGACACGGACAACTATAGGCGCATCAGTCTTACCTCAATCTTGGGGAAACTCTTTGAGAAGATCATCAAGGAGCACATCTGTGATGGGCCGGTATCGGGGATGATGATACCAAACTTTGGGGTGAGGTGGGCACACTAATAGGGAGGGAAAGACTGCAGCAAAACCTGGATAGGTTGCAGGGGTGGGCTAACAAAAACAGGATGCGTTTCAATACGGACAAGTGCAGGGTGCTGCACTTGGGCAGTAGTAACCAGCAGCACACTTATAAGATGGGAGAGTCCCTTCTTGAGAGCACAGAGGCAGGAAGGGATCTTGGAGTCATCATTGACTCCAAGATGAACATGGGCCGACAATGCGAGGTCACGGTCGGCTGGGCTAACCGGACCTTATCGTGCATCCACAGGTGCACCTCAAGTAGGTCCAAGGCGGTGATCCTCCCCCTTTACGCGACACTGGTCAGGCCACAGCTGGAGTACTGTGTCCAGTTCTGGGCACCCCACTTCAAGAGGGATGTGGACAACATTGAGAGGGTCCAGAGGAGGGCCACCCGCATGATCCGGGGACAGCAGGGCAGACCCTACAATGAGAGAATATGGGACCTGAACCTGTTCAGCCTTCACAAGAGAAGGCTGAGAGGGGACCTGGTGACCATCTATAAACTCACTAGGGGGGACCAGAAGGGTTTGGGGGAGACCTTGTTTCCCCTAGCGCCCCCCGGGATGACAAGGAATAACGGCCACAAGTTGTTGGAGAGTAGGTTTAGATTAGACATCCATAGGAACTACTTCACAGTTAGGGCGGCTAGGATCTGGAACCGACTTCCAAGGGAAGTGGTGCTGGCTCCTACCCTGGGGGTCTTTAAAAAGCAGCTTGATGCCTACCTGGCTGGGGTCATTTGAGCCCAGTTTCCCTCCTGCCCAGGCAGGGGGTCGGACCTGAAGATCTCCAAGGTCTCTTCCGACCCAACTTCTATGATTCTATGATTCTATGAAAGCTGTGGCCAACAGAATCCCTCCTAATTTGTCTCTCCTAGCACCATCCCATCTCCCCTCTCTCTCTCCATCCCTCCCACCCACCCACCTTTGTCTTTGGTATTCAAATTTCTCTCTCCTTCTTACTCTCTACTTTCTGCAGGTCCTTTCACAGCACCTGATGAAGCAAACTTGGGTTGTGAACAGGGATAGCTTGTGCTCTCTCTATATAGATCTTATTTAGTTATTCTATATAGAGGTGAACATCTCACCTGCTTGCTCACTGACTTCAGCCTAACCCGGCCAACTCTCTCTCAGCAGAGGGAAAGGCAACAAAACATGTCTCAGCACTGCCTCCACGAGGGTCGTAACATCTTCCCCGTCTGCAGAGCTTTTACCGTGGGGACTGGTCGTTTGTCCCCATGATGACTCACTGCTCTAACAGGGAAGAAGTTTTTAGTCCAAACACGGTTGTGTCCAGCACACCAGGGACCAGTCACTGGGCTCATGACCCCTCTCCATGCCTTGTGTGAACTGCATGGCACCCATCTCAACATGGTTCACTGCTTCCCTCCTTGTCCAGGGCCTGAGCTATATGGGGATTGTCCAGGCAGGGATGAGCCACAACCCAGCTTACCTATTCAGTTTATGTCCTCACACCTCACTTATCCCCACACCTTGGGCACACTTCAAAGGATCTCACAGCACCCCAAGACTCCCCAGCACCCAGACTGAGAAACACTGGACTAGCTGCATCCAAGAGACTGATGCTCCCTTCCTCCAATACAATGAAAGTGGGAGACCTCACCAGCAGGGAGGTCATCTCACCGCTGCTTCCCTTCTGCAAAAGCTGCCAGCTCTGGTCACAGCCAGAGAGGAGCAGCTGGAGTGGCCGGACCCTGGCAGAGAGCAGCCTGGCAGCTCCTGGACACCCACGGAGCCCAGAGCGGCTGCTGCTGCTTCCCTGATCTGCTGGAGACTGGGAACAGAGCCAGGTTGTGAGGGGTTGGGGTCTTTGCAGGGTCCCCACCTGGCTGGCTCAGTCCTCCAGGAATGCATGCAGCAGCCCCCTGCTCCAGAGCCCTTCACTCACCAGGAGCCACCAATGGCACAGGGGTCCCCCTTCAGCCAGCCCAGCTGAGCAGAGGAGCTGGGAGAGCATGCAGCAATGGTGCTAGCAGCCAGTGGTGCCGGCTCTTTCCTTCCTTCACGCTCCCCCGTGGAGCTCCTGTTTCCACCACCCTTCCCTAGCCCAGTCCTGCTGCATGCTCCCTGCACCGAGGAGCTGAACTGGGTCTGTCCTGCAGCACTGAGAAGGCATAATGAGGGCTTGTCCCAGTATAGGCAAGGAGCGGACACATGGTGACAGCCATCACCTGGTGCAACTCAGAAACACAGATAGAAATGGGGCTGGAAGGGCAACTAGCCTAGCCCCCACTCAAGGCAAGATACCCCCTGGCCATGCCAGCCCAGACAAGAGCACAAGACAGAAGCAGCACCATCGTGGGTGACACTAAAGTGTCACCAACACAGTGTCCTGTCCCTGCTTGGGAGTTAAATGAAAGCTTACTGGTGTAGACCAGCTCAAGCTGCTTCCTAACTCAGGCTTGTGCTAGGTCGGTAGTCTGCACTGGTGAGTGTGGTCTGTCAGTCGCGGACCATGTCTACAGCCAACAGACTGATAGCTGTAGGCTGATATAGCTCAGGGACTCATAGGGAAACAGGACCCATCTTTTTTGGCTGCTGAGACTGGCCAGATCCAGAGAGCACAGAGGTGTTGGGGATCTCACCCACAGACAGCAGATGCCCACATCTCCCTATCCTACTCATCTCACATGTCTCTGTCAGACCCTAATGATTTTGTCTCCATCCTCCTGTGAAGGAGGTGGCTGTTCTTTATCTCCATTTTGAGGACATTACAGTGAGAAGGTACTGATTTAGGCGCAGATAGCAGGCAGAGATGGGGCTAGGGCTAGGGAGTCAGAGTTTAGAGAAATAGCCCATTAAATTTTTAGCATACTTATTTTCCAGCTAGATCTACCTTCCCCACCCCTCTTCATGTACCTGTGAGCTGCTAGTTGAAATAGCCATTCTACTAATATTATGATTAGCTTGTGGGAGCTTTGGGGCATACAGTAGCACATAAGATCTGATGTCCACATAAGCAAGGCACTCAACCAGCCTGGACAAGGTTAAAAATATCTGTGTTTTCCTTATCCACAAATGTCCACCCAATTTCTTTCCTCACAGATTCCTTTAATGAGAAGAAACAAATCTCATCAGACACAAACAGAGGTACAAATAGGTGTGACCACGTCAAATGGAGAAACCCAGAGGGAGTT